GTGTGCCCTTGCCTGGGCATGGACTGACCGCCCTGTCTAGCACTTGAACTTCTGGACACCCCTTTCCCTATGGTCTCTCTGCTTTCAAACCACAGATTATCCACAGTTGCTAGAGTAAACGCTTTAGGACAACTGGATAATTCACCCTTGCCGAAAAACCACCAGTGATAAAAACAAGTCTATTCAACAAAGCCAAAAGCCTCCAGTGGTTCCTTGTCACAGCCGACGAGAAGACTAAACTGAGGTGGGGATGGTATATGGTGCAGTAGTAAAATTCCAGGCCCTCTGACGCTGACCCACATGACGGGATTCCGGTTCTCAAAAGGAAGCCTTCATGAGTATGCAGGCATCTTTATATATATATATATACACATACATACATATATAAAGACCAAACGGGGAACCAGCAGTTAGCATAATGGCTATGTCGCTGGACTCCCACGTAGTCGACCGCGGTTCGCGTCCTGGACCCGGTGGCTTAAAACTTGTGCCAGGAGCGTGTGCGTGCGTGCCCAAGATCCCGAGAGGAGAATGGAAGTAAAGGGATTGCGGCGTGACCATCCCCCCTGGGGGGTGATTTCTCGCTTTCTGTCTCTCTCTCTCTGTCTGTCTGGCAAACGCATGCGCCCTATAGCAAAAACCTCTCCAAAAAAAAAAAAGACCAAACGCTTCAGTGTGGCTTGCTAGCAGGGTATGATCTATTGTAGGCTTTTCTTTCCAGGTTTATCCACCACAGATTGCGTTTTCAAAAAAAGCTTGTATTGGGATCAGCAGTTGGTGTAATGGCTATGTTGCTGGGACTCCCACCTAGTCTACTGCAGTTCAAGTCCCGGACCCAGTGGCTTAAACTCACGCGGGGCGTGTGTGCATGCGTGTCCAAGATCCCAAGAAGAGAATGGAGGAGAAGGGATTGCGGGGTGGCCATTTCCCCTGGGGGGAGTGATTTTTCTGTTTCTGCCTCTCTCTCTCTCAGTATTTCTGGTGAGCACATGCGCCCTATAGCGAAAACTTCTCCAAAAAAAAAGAAAGAAAAATGCTTTCCTCGCCCTCTTCTCCATACCCGGACGCCTCGGCCCCACCGCTGCCGTCCATCTGCCCCGCGAGGGCCCAATCTGCGCTTGGGGTAGCCCAAGACCCGCCGCCAGTCGGCAGCGCTGGGCGCCGTCAGCCTGGCCAGGGTCACGCGTCTCCATGGCGACCGACGGACACCGCGCGTGCGCAATCAGGAAGTGCTCACCGGGTGCGGCGGAGGGACGTAGTAGGCGCATGCGTGTTTCTGTCCGAGACCTTGGCGAGTTCAGCGGAGCAAAGCGCCACGGTGGGCAGAGAGGTTCCAGAAACTCGGGCGGATAAACGTCTCTTAGCTAGTCCTGTACATTTTTAAATGCTGTTTATCTCACCTGCATTTTTATTGCCTGAGTTAACGTCTGGACGTCTATGCCGGACGCCTAAAGCCAACATGTCCAAAATAAATTTACTTCTCCATTGTTAACCAACTCAGTGAACAAAGTAGTCGGGCAGGCCAGAAATCTGGTGGCCTCCTTTGTCCCCCATACTCTCCTTTGTGCCCTTGCCTGGGCAGGGACTGACCGCCCTGTCTAGCACTTGAACTTCTGGACACCCCTTTCCCTATGGTCTCTCTGCTTTCAAACCACAGATTATCCACAGTTGCTAGAGTAAACGCTTTAGGACAACTGGATAATTCACCCTTGCCGAAAAACCACCAGTGATAAAAACAAGTCTATTCAACAAAGCCAAAAGCCTCCAGTGGTTCCTTGTCACAGCCGACGAGAAGACTAAACTGAGGTGGGGATGGTATATGGTGCAGTAGTAAAATTCCAGGCCCTCTGACGCTGACCCACATGACGGGATTCCGGTTCTCAAAAGGAAGCCTTCATGAGTATGCAGGCATCTTTATATATATATATATACACATACATACATATATAAAGACCAAACGGGGAACCAGCAGTTAGCATAATGGCTATGTCGCTGGACTCCCACGTAGTCGACCGCGGTTCGCGTCCTGGACCCGGTGGCTTAAAACTTGTGCCAGGAGCGTGTGCGTGCGTGCCCAAGATCCCGAGAGGAGAATGGAAGTAAAGGGATTGCGGCGTGACCATCCCCCCTGGGGGGTGATTTCTCGCTTTCTGTCTCTCTCTCTCTGTCTGTCTGGCAAACGCATGCGCCCTATAGCAAAAACCTCTCCAAAAAAAAAAAAGACCAAACGCTTCAGTGTGGCTTGCTAGCAGGGTATGATCTATTGTAGGCTTTTCTTTCCAGGTTTATCCACCACAGATTGCGTTTTCAAAAAAAGCTTGTATTGGGATCAGCAGTTGGTGTAATGGCTATGTTGCTGGGACTCCCACCTAGTCTACTGCAGTTCAAGTCCCGGACCCAGTGGCTTAAACTCACGCGGGGCGTGTGTGCATGCGTGTCAAAGATCCCAAGAAGAGAATGGAGGAGAAGGGATTGCGGGGTGGCCATTTCCCCTGGGGGGAGTGATTTTTCTGTTTCTGCCTCTCTCTCTCTCAGTATTTCTGGTGAGCACATGCGCCCTATAGCGAAAACTTCTCCAAAAAAAAAGAAAGAAAAATGCTTGTATTAATATCTCCCTCACATGCTCTTGTATGATCTTGCCATTCCTTTGTCAAGAGACCATATTCATTCATTCCACTCCCCCTCAATCTGGGTGGGTTTGTTGGCTCTCTCTAATCAATAGTACGTGGTAGAAGTGCTACGTGTGACTCCACAGGCTGAGTCATAAAAGGTAGTGCAGCATCTGTCCACTTTGTTAGCTAATGACTTGTTCTGGAGTCCTGAACCTCCTGGGAAGAAGTCTGAGGACTCTGAGGCCTGGCATGCTTGAGAAAGCATAAACTAGGCCACTGGGAGAGATCTCAAGGTCATGTGAAAAGAAAGATGTCCCAGCTACTCCAGCCCCCACTTTTCCACATCCATTCACACCATGGCTGAAACAGTAGGGATGACGCCCCACCCTCCCATCCCTCGCACCAAGCCAGACCTACCAAGTTAAGATTTTCTTGAGTTCGTGACCCAGTGAAACTATGGGAGATAATAAAATAAAATTATTGTAGTTGTTTAAGTTATTAAATTTTGGAGTGATATGTTAAGCAACAATAGGTAACTGGATCATCGGTCTTTGGTCTAAGCCATTCTAACTGGTAAGAAGTTACATGTCCCTGTGGCTCTGTGTTCTGTTTTCCTGATGACTGTGCACTTTTGAATATTCTTATTGGTCACTTGTATATCTTTATGTGTCTGTTAGAGTCTTCTGGCCATTGGGTAATCAGGTTGTTTATGTTTTTACTGTTGGTTTGGAAGAGTTTTTTTTTTTTTTTTAATGTATCTTTTATGCAAGCCCTTTATCAGATATATAGCCATGAAGATTTCTTTTTCCAGGTCTGTAGCTTATCTATTCATGTCTTTGGATAAACAAAAATGTTAAATTCTGTTAAAGCCGTTTTGGCAATATTTTTCTTTTTGTAACCTGTCCAAGGAAACTTTGACTACCTCTGGATCACAGAGAGAGTGTGCTGTGTTTTCTTCTAGAAGCTTTATGTTTCTGAGTCTTAAGGCTAAGTCTGTGATTAATCTCAAATTAATTTTTAAAATAAAACCAGATAAGCATCTACATTTTATTTCCAAATGGATTCCCAGTTGTTCCAGAAACTTCCACTGAAAAGACCTTTCCCATTCATTTGACTTGACACTTTTGTAGAAAATCAATTAATTATACATTTGAGAATCTATTTCTGACTAAATTGTTTTGCCTATCCTTTTACCAATACCACATTATCTTGATTATGGTAGCTTTATAGTGAGTCTTTATGTCACATGGTATAAGTCTCTAACTGTGTTCATATTGTTTTGACTCTTCTAGAGCCTTTGCTTTTCTCTATATATTTTCAGATCTTCTTGTCTAATAGCCTGTGGGTATTTTAATGGGGATTACATTGAACCTATAAATTTTGGCACCCTTAGTACTCAGTAAATGACAGTCATTAATATTGATCCACACTCTGTGTGTGTGGACACATTGCTCTGTGAAGAGCCTTCTGTTATTCCGTGTGTGTGTCCTCAGCCCTCCCATCCACTGGCAAGCTCCCAAATGTGTCCAGCATAGCTCTGCACATAGTGAGCACTTACTCTCTGCCTCTTGCCTGTGTGCTTTTGTCCTTAGAACCTAAGTGAAATACAAATGACAGAAGTCCTTTGTGCAAATGACCAGCTGCTAGTTGAGATGTCTGGGGTTTGCTTTTCAGATGCCCTTCCATACTCTCCCTGGTGCTTGCAGACAGGTGCTTAGAAAGACTGGCTGCCCTCCTGCCTGTCTTCCTTCTCAGCTGATCTTCCTTGCCTGAATGCTTAGCTGGCTGGAGACAGCTTGACCATTTCTCTTCCAATTTTAGTGAAGGTTGCATTAAGATTGCGTTGAGCCAGCCAGTCAGCTATCAAAGAGAAAAGTCACCTCAAGGATTTTGTAAGTAATCATAAAAATCCCTTGCAAGTGAATCTATTTTAAATGTTCACAAGTATTTTGATTGTATATTACTCTGTT